GTGCCTAAAGATTGCTTAGTGTGGCTATAAACGACCGTTAAATGGAATGATGAATTTTTGAAGAATTTTGAAAACGGAAAAAATGATAGTCATGCCGGCCCAGCATCATCAACGTTGAAAAATGCCCCGGCACGAAGTGGTTAACATCCTGTGCTGATACATGGTCTACAAACTGCCCAATTAAAATGCGTGGAATGAAAAATTAATGTCAAAAATTGTACCAAAAAATGAGGTTGAACAATATTTTTGGAATAAAAAAAAAAGGATTTTGCTTGAAGGGGAGTGTTTGGAGTTCACCCCTTTGACTGTTCCATGTGTGCCTCTCAAGGGCGCTGTGCAGCTGACAGTTGTGATGTGTGCCAGTTGATGCCTCCAATTTTTTAGGCATTTCTTTCTGAACTGGAAGAAATATCAAACACTGTCATCCTGTTTTTGTTTTCAGACTTAATAGATCAATCTTTTGCTGGGTTGGTTTCACTTGTCATGGTTCTTCTGTTAAAACAGATTTCTTTTTTGTCGGCATAATCATCTGATAACTTTCCTTGATTCCAACAGAAAGAAGGACTCATTGATAGCTCCAGCCATTGCCCTGCTGAACAGCGAAGACGCGGACTTTGATGCCTCAAAGGTAAGGAGTCGTTCGTCTTTCCAAGCTGGAATTCTTGCACCTCTTTGACATGGACAGGAGCAGAATTAGACATTGAAAATCCCTGAAGAAACTCTTGGTGGGTTTGGGATTTCTGTTTGCTCTTTGGGACTTTTTCAGTGATACCCAGTTGTTGGCCTGCTATCTCCCAGAAGGGTGCACGAGTGCAAAAGCAACAGCCTGTGTTGATCTCTAGACAAGTGTGTAGTTTAGCAGTTACATGTATTTGCCTGGTTTGTAGATCCGTCAAATGGGGCATGGTACCGTAATCCGAGGACTAACCACTTCATACGTCAACCGTAGTAGCATCATTTCCATTGGTCCTTGTTATTTCCTCCAGGTTCTCCAACTCATTCCAGAGAACTGGTCCACAGCACTGCTGTCCCAGTTCCTGACCAACACGGTGCGGCAGAGCCTGCACGCCACCCGCATCACCAAGCTCCAGCGGGCGCTGGCCCGCACCGAGAACCTCAACCTCAAGGCTGGCCAGATCCGCCAGCAGCGCGACCCCATCTACCTGGGCGACGACCGGCCATGCCAGGTCTGCAATCGGCCCTTCCTGGAGCCAGCCTTTGTCCGCTACCCGAACGGCGTGATCGTGCATGCCCAGTGCGCATGGAACAAGGCCGTCTGCCCCGTGACCGGGCGTCTCTTCAGCACCAAAGTTGGCGCCGAGAAGAGATAGGACAGGAGGGAAGTTGGCCCCTTCTCTCAAACATCCATGTATATCGAAAAAACTTCAGGCTTCGTTTGGAAAGTATTGACTTTGTGCATGAACTGATGAGGGCGCTGCATACAGTTAAACAGAGAGGGTGACTGGAGGACACTGGCTTGGCCTCATCCCAGTGTTGTGCCTTTGGTATGGTCTGGGTCTTTGCCAGGTGAAAACTGTTAAGAGGCTCCGTTTGGAAGTTTCAACTTTGTCCATGAACCGACGAGGGCACTATATGCAGTTTAGCAGAGTTATCTGCCTCGACCAGAAGCACCCCCTCATCGGTTGAAAAGAACCGTATTGGTCAGGAATATTTATTTTGTTGGTAGCCATGCTACCGTAATGCGTGCATTTCATAGTCGTTCGTGAACCAGTGAAGTACAGTTCTGACCAAAAAAGCCTCCATTGCTAAGAAAATTGCGCCCTCTCTTGGTCTAGCTCGAGGCTTATTAAAAGGACACTGGTTTGGTTGCATCCAAGTGTTGTGTCTAGTGCTCAGTGTCTAGTGCTCAATGTCTTCGACAGTTCGCATACATTTTGGAACATGCCTACAGTGGATGTATCCATAGCTGGGCCAAGAGAGGGTTTGTATGGCTGCCATCTTGCAGGCCAGTACTTTTGTTCCACAGAGTACATGTATGTACAAAGTAGGTTTTCCTGTGGAGCAAAAGAACTGCCCTACAAGATGGCTACCACGCAGTGCCTCTGTAAGTTTCACCTGCAGATTTGGTTAACCAGGCCTTAAATGCTCAAGTCCAGTGAGAGAATCCAGTCTTTGGCTTTAGTATTTTTTGCAGGCATGGGAATCTTTCCGGTTTAACTGGAATTCCATTTTTTTTCCTTCAAGTTTTGGTCTTGGAGTTCAGTTTCAGTTTTGCAAGCGTTACAATCCTGGAAAAGCATGGTGCGAGTGGTGTTGTAGTTGCATCAATAAAGAATAATGAAAAATATCCTTATGACTGAGAAGATTTTGCTTCAATATATCAGGAGCAAAGGGACCAGGCATTGCCTCAGATCGCACTGCAGTGCATACACAATCCCAAAATGTTCCTGGGCCCCTTAGGCGGGCCTGGACCCCACACACCGTAAGAGCTTTGTGTTCCACGCTTGCAGTAGTCTCTGCACAATCTATTTCATCACAAATTATTTTCAGTTTTTTTTTCTTAATGCCCATTCACATGCTTGTGGAGTGGGATTGATGTTTTCTTTTAAATAAAAACCTATGACAACAAGTCATTCGTGAGTTAAATTGGTATAAAATCTGGTATACCGAGCTATGTAATTGCACATAAATGTCACAAGGTATAGCAACAGTGTCTTTAGTATGGAGATTTCAAATTAGTGAATTTAAGGAATTCGATGTAGCAGATTTTATGCAAATTTTAACTTGCAAAAGGCTTTCGCATGAACCAGAATCTCCACAAGTCACGGACTAAGTTTTGGGCATGTATGGTGTTGGCGCCTTCCAGGGACATCGTCCTGAGGCAACAAACTGGCCTCTCCAGATGGCCAACAAGAACCCTTAGAAGGTTTTTATGGTGCATACCATATCACCTATGGGTCATTCTATAAATTCAGAGTCCAACAGTTTTTTGGTGAGCCTGTTGACTTCAAAGTATTCTTATTTGTTTGGCAGGTAATTTGCATTACTTAATCATTCTCAGAAATTAAAAATTGTGTTTTAAACATACCGTTACATACAAATCATACATAAGATGTAACAAGGTCACAAATAACACTTGGACCTTAGATTTATAGAATGACCCATATAAATATGGCCTTAATTAATTCAAAGCCCTCTCATACAAGTGACTTGTATAAAAAGGCCATAGAATGTTTACCACGGAATATGCACAAAAAAGGTCATAAAATCAACATCGTGCTAAACTATTCTACTGCACATTGGTGTGATTTTGATATAATCCCTGGACAAATAAACGAATCCACAAATCCCTGTGATCGTTGCACAGGTACGGAAATTAAACTGCAGTTCTCTTTGTTTCTCAGGACAAAGTTCTCTCAGCTGCAAAATTAATGCGGCATTAACTGGACTTGAGTACTTTGATAATGAAGCTTGCAAGTTTTTGAAACTGGGCAGAACTTGTAAAGCTATGAGCCATGTAGTACTTTTACTTTGGAATATTAAAAAAATATATATATAACGGTAACAACTAAAACTGTTTCTCCTATTGGTCCATCGATTTTGCTGACTCTCTAACCCCAATAGTCCCAAATCCTCCGAAACACAGTGCTTTAACAATGTTAGTTGCATCATGCTTCTTTTGTTTGATGTTCATTGTGCCAGGAGGTTAGGGTTAACTGTGAAAATAAACTGGCAACTGACTAGCATCTTCCATATTGGAAATGTTCAAACCAAAATATCAGAGGCTTAAATCCTAGTCATTCACATACACATGGGAGTCTTACTGTTGCTTTTTCCAGTCTTACTGATAACAACCAGTGATGTTTCATGCTAAAGACTGACACAGGGTTTAAATCCTCTGAATTCAATACGATTTTACACACTTGCCCTAGGGATTTAACATACCTTACACCTGGGCTATTGCCGTGCCGAACTCATATAATTTAATTTTTTTAAGTTCGGCATGGCAATAGCACAGCATTTGGTGCAATTTGGCACAGCAAGCCCTTTAGGTTTGCTGTAGTCCAAACGGCAGTGGCACGACACTCCTCTTAAAGTTCGGCGTTTAGCACTGCCGCTCTATTGCCGCACGCTATTGCCGCACTACTGCCACACTATTGCCGCGCCTATTTCAATTAAGTTTGGCACGGCAGTAGCATGGCGCCTAGTCTTGGCCTTGCTGTGTGTACAGTGTAGAACTGACCCTTTGCATAAGCCCAATTTGGACATTTAAAGATCCATACATGTACATGTACCTCGCCAAATGTCTCAAACATGGAGGTTGAAAAGAGTTAAGACTAACACCGTGAATGAGCCAGATGCCAACATTTCAAGATCCTACATGGGTAATTCCAGAAATTAGGGGTCCATTTTTTCATGCCCCTGTCACATCTGACATGATTTTGTACGTTCAGAACACATTTTCCAATTTCCGAGATAAGTAATGCAAATTACCTGCTAAATAAATAGTCATAGTTTGAAATCAATTCCGGTGATATTTCCATGGCATATACAAAACAAAGGTCAGATGTATCAGGGACACAAAAATGTCACACTTTCGGACCCCTAATTTCTGGAGTTACCCTCATGTAACTTGCCAAATGTAAAAAAAAAAATTGTTAGGTGCAAAGCCAACCCCTTGTACTTCAAACTCGAGATCAGTTTGGGTAGTTTGTTATATTATGCGACGTTTTGAGTCCTGAACCATCTAGTCAACTTTTCTTCTCTTCATGTAGACAACCAACATCCAGTAATAGTTCCTTCACACTTGCTCTTACTTTACACTCCAAGTCACCCACTCATGCAGCTCAGTGGGTCTACATTTCCACACTGTCTAATTTTCATACTTACAAAAATACCAGCACATTAATTATTTTAAGCTGTCATTATTTTCACACCAAAAAATCCATTTGTATGGCTCGGGTGCCACTTCCACAGTAATGGTGTTTTGCACGGTACCAAATTACAGAACACTGTGGATTCCTATGCCACGTTTACACTTAGAGCGAAAAACAAAAACACGTGGTAGACTGCATTTGGAAACCGGAGTTATTTTTTCAAAAATCCTGTGCCATGACTGTTTTTTGGCCAATCAGCAGTCTCGTTAAATACATTGTGTGGCATCACGAACTGAGAGTGGGTATTCACATCTTTGTCATGCCTTCAGTTCTTCCACTGGTGCAGCACTGTCGTCGTTGATAGTCATTAAAATGATGATATCAATACCGATGGGGTTTCCAACTTGTCGGTACAACACCGCACGGCATGGATTCGACTTTGAGAGACCGGTTTCCGTTAACGACATGTACCTCCTGTTATCACTCCTCTATGTAAAAGGGCCCTTACTTCTTCCAAAAACAGTCTCACTGTCCCCAAATTCTTATTCTAAAACTCATTTTACAAATAAGAGAATAACTCATTTTTTTCTGTAACAGTTCTAGTGTTTTCCATAATACCTAAATTTTGCATAATTTGAAAAGCTAACTTACTAAGGGGCCATTCAAAATTTTCAATGTCAAATTTCGATTCGTTCTGAAAATGGTGGGTCAAGGAAAATAATGGAAAATCGAAATTCAATTTTGATTTAAAAAAAAAAGGATCCTTTGACTTTCCTGAACTACAGTAGGGCTATGCAACCGAACTGAACTTCACGACATGTACAACCATGGCACAGCACACATGTACGAACTGTGCACATGTGCGGAGACACATTAACATACAGTATTTACTTTACATGTGTAAGTACACATGTACTTGCATGCAATGTCATATATTACTCTGCACCGGGAGTTTGAATACTGTACAACCAAATCACTTTTTTGTTGATCGAAAATGGGGGTGGCTGGGTCAAAAAAAAAATCAAAATTTTAAAAATTGAAAATTTTGCATGGCCCTTTAATTGGAAAACAGCGCCATGTATTAAGATTCAAATTCCCAAACTGGCACTGCTAAAACAGAGAACATGCATGGTTCTAGTAGTTGTTCAGCAAGTTCCAGTTTAATTTGCAAGGCCTGTACCTTGCATTTGAGTCAAAATTTTGCGATATCAATACAAGTACGAAACTTGGTAATTTTGCACTACCAAGTTACAAATGGTAAATTATATATTATATTTTAAACGTTACAGACCAACCCATTTATGATTACAGATACTTACTATAAAGCACTTTATGAAGAAAACTACCAGTGCCACTCATGTTAATAGGCAATGAACTCATTTACGGTATTCAACACATTTATTATCAGGATACAGAAAACAGGTGGAGTTTTTAAGAGTAGTTTTAACAGTCTGAATAGGGAGTGAAACTTGGATGTGGGTCTGAGATTCCACACCATTCTTTGGGACCTGCAACGGAGAACGCTTTGTCACCTTTTCTAGGTTTTCACTGGACGTACCAGCTGAAGATGAAAAATCCTTCCCAAGCTGGTTAGCGCTGAGCCAATCTAGGACTAGATCTCACAAATAATTTGAAAATAAGATGTTGATGCAACAGGGCAAAAATTAAAGTTGAACTCAACAAGACGCTCCTTTTAATTGGCAAAGCACCTCAGGTCATTTATTTCAATATTAACATCCGGTCTTATTACATTGATCCTTTTGTTTTTCCTCCTAGATGTACATCATTCGTTAATACAAGTATAGAAAATACGGGTACCATACTGTTACCAGAGTTTCAATTCCAAAAGTATTTGTCGGCGTTCTTTTCTGTACAATTGAATCGTCAGTCAGGTGAAATTACAGTCACAAGTTTACATCATAACCATTCTACATTTTAGACATTGAAACCATTTAAAATAAAAACACAGGTCTGTTGTCAGATGTCCTGTGTCTGAATGTACAATATGTCAATCAAAAGTGATTGAATGGTATATACATGTACATGTATGTACCATAAATTTCTCAGCTGGTAACCTATCACATGATCTTTACAGTGTATAACCAGGGGGTTGACACTTGTTCAGATTTAGTTGGTACCCATTCAGATTTAGTTGGTAAGTTGGTACCCTGGTTGTAACTATTGGTTCAGCCCCGTGGCACGCACTGAAAACCAGTGATCATGGTTTAGTTTCTGCAACAAGCTACAGTTCTGCTTGGGTACCAGTGGCAACATGGCTGACCAGCGCTAGTGATTTTAAAAGACTGAAATCTGAACAATTAACTAAAAAATCTTTTTGTCCAACCTGGTGAATAAGATTGTTATTTAATACTTTTTAAAAAACATCAATTTGAAGCAATCAAGATATCAACTTTAGTTCAAAATGTGACCTTTATACAATCAAGCAACAGCCTCCCTTGTGGATTTGGTCAGTTTCCTTGGTTAGACAAAATGCTCGAAATACCAGTCACTGCCTTTGTATACAGCCTAGTACCCCAGGGCAAAGTGATGCTGTAACACTGATTTCTGAGAACAGAGGACAGCACCAGCCCACAAGCCATCTGCAACCATGCAGAATTGAAGGCTGCATTCACAACGGACACTGCTGTCCAACTGTGGCTGCTTCCCATTGTGAGGACTTGTGATTGACTGAGGACACAACTATGGGAAACATGTCCTCAGTCATTCCCTGCCTTGCCTGTATGCTGTCCTCCATTTTAGCATGGATTCTCAGCGTCTATAAATGTAATTCTCTGCTGAGCTAGCACACAAATTTGGCACTTGCCCTGTACAATGCCATGCTCACTCAAGAAGTACGTGAACTGTCAGTAGAGATCACGCTCACACAATCAACAGTAAGCAGAGCCTTGAATTGGGCCTGGCCAATTTCTCGGAGCAGATCATAAAACGGGCAGGGCATAAATGCATTTGCCTCCCCATGATGCACCTGTAGGTATCATTCAAGTCTTGACAAGATATCTAACCTACAATGTATCTAAAACCTACTTCTCATAAAATGTTCATTGTAAAGCAGTCGGTAAACATTAAAGTCAAATTATTAAATCACTCCACCAATGGCATTCTCAGGTGACGTACATGTATCAAAAATAGAGCAGATGTGCATTCCAATTGCTTCAAAGTTGTAACGTAAAACTTGCAGAGGTACTGGAATTTTTTCCTTTCCCCTTCATTTTTGTTGTTGCATAATTCAAAACAACGTTCCATTGCATTTCCAGAATTGTATAAAGGCCAATGAACTGTGTCAGTCACCAGAGACTTATCAGATTGTCACCTCTTTTGCAGTCCGTGCAAAAAACCGTCAATAATTTGTATCACACAACAACAGTTTTTACCAATGAATAGTAAAGAAAAGAAATGCTTTGGTCCATTCTGTGGATATATCCCCTTGCCATACACTGAGCCTATTAATGGCCTAATCCCTGCACTAAGCAATCTGTGTTTCGTAGCTGTGATGGCCACCCATTTTCCATGCTACCTCTTGTGAGGACCAACACATGTTGTGAGCAGGTGTATGAGCCCTCACACCTTTGTTAAAATTTTCCTAACACAGAGGATATCTTCCTCCAAGATAGTTCACAGGGTACCCTGTCCTTAGGGGTTCTTCTGTATTGCTGTGACCAAAGCACATTTTCCGAACTGATATAATTTGGGATCTGTGCCCAATTGTAAAAACATGCCGTCATCATTGACGATGGAATCCCACAGGGGTGCAAGGAATACTATGTGTGGGCAGTCAAGTCAGTCTCAGGTCTTTACACAGGACTTGTTCATGAGACTCAGGTAAGCAGGTCCAACTTGCTGTATCTGATTTGCCCAACAACCGCCACTCCAAATTCAAATCGGTGGCATTTTCTGCCTTGTTTTTAAGTTTCACATACCCGAAAGGACCAGATCTCCATTCTTAAAATCAATTTTCGTGGTCAACTTGCTTTGAAAGGTAAACCCATTTTTTAATAAAAAGAAATTCCTCCATGAAAATCGGTGTGTGCAATACAAAAGGAACAAAACACACAACTCAAAATGACAGAACATGGTCCCACTTTTGGCATTGTTTCCTTCATGAATATTTATGAGCAAAGGATTAACATTCATGCATGATTAATTTCTAGTACTATTTTACACCACAGCATGTCTGCACAGAATCTACTCTTAATGCATGCACACCTCTTCTCTCTGTCATTTGCTTAATCATAAAAAATAATTTTCACTTTGTATATCATATTTATAACAATTTCATGCAAATATATTCACATCAAAGCACATTTAAAGCAAGCAGCCGAGGGCAAAAAGAAATCATAACTACTGCACATGTCCTAAAGTTGGAAAACTATCTTCAGTTAAGATTCTCAGTGGATCACACTCAACCATACCCACATCCCCCCTCCCCTCTGGCTGAAGAGATTTCCTGAGAGCAAGAACCTGAGTCTGCTTGTAATTTGCAGACGCCATTTCAGCTGGAAATTACAGTGGAAGTAGACACCCCTTATTCCTTCACCACTGAAAGTGTTCAAGGGGAAGATGTTTGACTCGAGTAGTCTTGACATCACGGTTGAAGAGAGAGGAGAGAAAAAAGCAAACATATAAAAGCCCAACCAAAATGGAGGTGCCAGTACTCCAGTGCCTGGCTGACAATATCCAGGCAAACTCTACAGTTTCTTGCAGGCCAAGATCCCCTTAATTCTGCCTACATGCGACTGAGAAAAAGGCTGCTTAAGATCTGGACCCGCATCATACCATTATTCCATTTTTTTCCATATGATGCACTGTAAAAGTCTCACTTTTGTTTTTTTTCCCGCTGGTCCTTTGCACGATACGTTTTGCGCTTAATTTGGCTAAAAAAATGAACGCGAGGCCCGACTACAAGTAAGAGTGAAAGGCATTTTGTGACTTAAATGTCTTCAGAGTTTGAAGTGAAATTTTCACTGCTCATGGTCCAGTTTTCTTGCCCAACAATAAATCAGGAACTGAGAAGAAACTGCCTGGTACAAAAGCTCCATACATGTATATGCACCGCTGACACCAATCTCTTCAATGCCTTTCTTACAAATTTTCAAAATCAGAGTATTGCTGAATAAAGTGATTTATGTACATCAACACAAATGTGATGTCAATATCCTACTCAAGGGTAAACGAGAAAGAAAAACTTATAAGCTAAACTTCAACTTCGGTAAACATGTTTTCATTTGGCATAGATATGTAAATCAGATGCAAATTATTTGAATGCATATTCAGTTCTGCCACAAAGCGCTAAAGCTAGAAATTCATTTATAAAACAAACAAAAAAATGTCTCAACTACAATATACCTTCAGCACAAAATGTACCTAAACGTGCTAAATACTGAAGGAAAAAAATCACACCATTTAATTCGTTTGTACAAGGAATTGTTTCAAGGATTTCTTACATTACAAAAATCAAGGCGGTAGTTTTCATAAACTTTACAATCTAGCTTTAATACTTCTGTAAAATAATGAAAATGTTAACAAAAAAACTTTTTTTTTACAGTTCTTGTATAATCTTGGCATAATCTAATAATGGTGAAACGGAAAAACTTCACTATTTTAAATGAACACAACTTTCTTGGATGTCTATTAATTAAGCAATGGTAAATGAATTAATGTGGTCTATTTCATGGCTGCATGAACAAAAAAAAATTCCACTACGCCTAATGAGAGGAGAACTAAATTTGGCTGCTACAAGAAACACAAGAGAGAACATGAGCATAGTATCGTGTGTGTGCGTGGTTGCATGATGGCGGCTTTGTAATTTTTGACTTCAGATGAAATATTGGTGACCTGCCCAGCTCTGTATAAGTGCCTGATGTGAAGCGAGGCCTTTGTAACAGGATAGGACGGTTGGCGGTGCCAAGTGGATGCATGCTGGGACTGTAAAGGGTGTTCTTGCTCTATAATATGGCTGAGATGACTCGATTTGAAATAGCTTCCGGAGAAATGATGTTTTCTTTAACAAGAGCTTTTGCAAGATTCCCTGGACTTGGCTATCTAAGGGAAGAAAGGAAAAAGCCACCGGGGGGGGGGGAGCTAGAAAGCCGTACCTCAGAACCCAAAGGATGAGGAAAGTCCAGCTGCCTGACGCAGTTCTACCAACCTGCACTTATAATCGCTAAATCACAATATTTGGTCGCCGTGGCCACCCCTCCCACAAACCTCTTTAAGGCTTCATTGAAGACAGTCAAATATTTCCGGCCAGTGCACTTATTATCCCTACATGCTTCATACTAGTCCTTGTGATTTCAAGGGTTATGGCTGATTGATGCGTTGACTTTTGATTCATTTCCAAAATCAGTCTGCCGGAGAGTGAAATGGGAATGATGTTAGCTTTGTGAATGTCATTTGCAGAAGCAATTTCTGGGGGAAAAAAATTTGTTAATTTAAAAAAAAAACAACAGGTTCTGTGCTGTAAAAGTGGTTTAAGTGCACTGTGAAGTAGCACCTGGTCTTTGTATCACACCATCAGAAACTGCTGCGTTACATGGAGTCTTGTTATCAGAGAATACACATCAATCACTTCTGCGATTTGGTTCAAATTACAGTGAAAGCTTTGTTGCTGCAGAAATCAACCAGTAACCCAATTATTAACCACAAGAACCCTTCAACGGTTATCAGCCTGAGTGCTATCCAATGAGCCCTGTTCTATTTCTATACACGTCATGATGTTGAAAACATTTGTTGGAAAGTGGTAGAATAGTTCTTGCAAGCCAGCCAAAATTTATGCGTAGGCTTACATGTAATTTCCGTGTCTAAACTCACAGAATGGGACACAAAATTCACAAAACTAGGCAAGACAAATCTGATCTTTCCTTTTTTTCCATCGCATGCAGAACAATTTCACCACGTTAACTGTCGCAGCCAACACAGCAGTCTCAAAAACTATTCACAAATCATGCAGAATTACAAACTCAAATCTTTCTTGTTTTCTCCAACTGAAGAATGATGTACATGTATCTCAACTCTTAAAAATACTGAGCTGCGATTGAGTGGAAATCATCACTCTGAAACCCTCGCTGGTATTAATCCTCGGAGAGTTGAAGACTGTCCTTCAGTTCACAGAGGAGAAAAGCGAGGACTGTGGGCTACTTCACAGAACCCTGTTTTTTAAAATTTCTGGGGTACCTGCATTTCTGTTTGTCCCACATGCACTTTCCTGCTTCTTTTATTCTGAGTGACAACCATTTTACCAGCACTGTGACAAGATTCAAAATCACATACGATACTTGCTTTCTTGGTTTTAGGCTTATTAACTCTGTCCATGACAAAAACATCACTCCCCCCCCTGACAACCCTATCAAAACTTTCATTCCAAAACTTGGCATACCGTCGAACAAGGTAGAAAAAAAAATCATTCCGTTCTCGGAGAATATTCACTTTGCCAGGTTCTTTGCATCTACAACTATGACTACATGTCATTTCATTCCCCCATCCCCCCTTTAGTCCTCTTCAATCCATTATAAGCAAAGCAAAAATAAAGACATAGCTGACGAGAAGGTGAAAAGCAACGGAACGAAAAAAAAAAAAGAGATGACTGGAAAAATTTGACCGACAGAGGATGGATTTACGAAAGTGTGGATGGTATGAAAATACGTTACAATTCCTTGAAAGTCGGGGGTCGACTTTTTGGTGTATGCTCAACACCGCACACAGCGTTTTATTTCCTGAATAGGAAAGAATAAGAGATTTATTTTTAAAAACATATTAAACTCCAATGGTTATAAAGAAACCATGACCAGAGAGACACCGAATCAGAGACTTTTCTTTGTTTATGACTGGAATGTTAAAAATGGGTTGGACTCCCTGGCATCTCTGACTGGAATCTTCCGGAATCATGTGTTATCTCAATTAGGACTGTGATGAAAACAGAGATTCATGTATCTAATTGCAATTGGTGAGTGTGCTGTTCTGCCCCGCCCCCCAATTTTATTACCACTCTTTGCAAGTTCTGGATGAACTTTTCTGAGACCAAAGCACAACTTACTGTTTTCATAAAAAAAAAATCCCAAGCGACGGGGAATGACAGACAACAAGGGAATGTCTGACTCGCGACAAGACTGGAGATTGGATGATTTGCGAGTGATTCCCATTATGTTTGTACACGCAGATAGAGGCTGGAACTAGTCCATGGAGGTGAACGTGAGTGGAGGGCCTAAAAGTGAGCCATGGTCAGGTGCTGCACAAGTGTAACTGCATGACACTGTCTCAAGAGTGTAAAAAAACAGGGCGATGGCCTCAGAAATGTCACACAAATCTTGGAAAAAATGACCACCAAAAAAGGTCTACGTCTGTGCAGTCCGACTTTGTAAATGCCTTGGCATCTTCTTGTTCCAAAAGGTCGGCATTTTCAGCCAACAATAATACCACACCTAAGACAAATCGGATGCAGAACATAAAATGCCATCCGCAACAGGTGATTCCAGAAGATTCTGAGCTGACAAAAAATGCTACAGGAGTTTGAGATGATGACCTGTCTGTCCCTGGTTGCTTCCGGGTAACAGCCAAGGCAATGCATGACCTGTCCGTCCATGGTGGTTGTCGTCACAAAATTGAGATTACAGGGCCATTACAATTTATACACAACAATGGCATCGCTTGCTTCCTCACTCAACTGTCTCTCGTTCTGAGGTGTCATGATTGAAATACACATACTTTGGTAAAGGTCAAAGAGTAACAAATACACAGTGTCGAAATATCTGAGAAGATAGCACCGACTACGAGTAGGCCAAAAAATATGCTACCCAATTACAAAAATATGGTATAAAGTGGCAAACTGGGTGCCAGTAACCCTGTACATGCATTTGCGTAAGGACAAAAGGAGTCTTTTATATGAGGAATGTCATTCTATATTGCTGTAAATTCAAAATAGCATATTTAGTAATTCGTTTTCCGATTTTCAGTCGTTTCAATTTACCAAAAAAATCAAAAATAAAAAATATCTTTGCATATCAAAAAATATCTTTATACGAAATGACAAGCCACCTTTCCTTGTCCTGTTTGCGGTGGAATTTTAAACTTGTTCTGTGCAAACTGTGAACATATATTTAGCCCCAATGAAAGGTTCCACGACTGAATTTTCATGGAAAGGCTCACTTTGAAGGGCTCTGCTTTTGAAAGTAGCTCATTAACTCTGAGCCCCAAATACAACCTAAGTGTAACAAGAGAAACAATTTAAATACAGGTTTACTTCGGTCATATCAAAAAAATGGTTCAACAGTATGAAATATTTTTGGCTGGCAGATATGTCTGATTAACATACATGTCTGCAAGGTTTGATGGGCTAGGTCCAAATATCGTGGCTGTGGCTAGGAACGGTACAGGCATCTATGGTAAGTGATTCTAGCTACTAGTCAACGGCTGCCAAAGTTGACAGTGCTATAACTAGCCGCAGTCAAACCTGTCAGCCAACATGAAGTTGCAAATCAATGCTTTTGACGAATCGTGTACGACCCTCATTATGCTTCAAATGTAAAGCACAGTCTTGGTACAAGTGTATGGCAAATATACACTTGTCCCATGTGTAATTAAAATGTGCCAAACATGATGGTATGTCTCCGCTACCCACTCCTGACTCCTTCAATCCCGGATGAAAAGGTTCATTTTTCTGTGTCAGCTTGTCTGCATCTCACGGTAGAGAACTACCTGCCAAAGATTCTGAAGGCAGGACTCCGTCCATGTTCTGATTGTGGCCCCCCCAAAAACACACACCAAAGAGAGCCAGTAATATACATGTACATGTATCATCACGTTGGCAGTGCTTCCCAGACGGTACTTAAATTTCCACCAAAATCTCGAGCTCTCCACATTCTGGTTTTCATGTGCTTCAGTGTAGAGGCCACAACTAGATTGAGATCAGAGAGTGATTTCTGTTTTGAAAGGAAAATCGATGTCCATTTTAATATCGAAATCGAGAGGAGCATTTATTTTTTGGTGTCCACTTTTGACTGCACAAGAGGACTAACAACTTTGTCCGAACATACAGTACTCTGTTTCATTCAAACTACAGCCTGTCTGCCCCCATTCACATGGATCAAATACTTTTTGGGTATTGAAACACCTGTAGAAATTTAAAATCGTCAGGGAAAACACTTCAAACAGGAACACCCTCTTGACTGTTGTTCCATGTCTTGTTCCCTCCGCACGCATCAAATGTTCCGATATACATGTACAGTTGTGTGCTTTTCATAACAGTTCACTTCTACAAACAAAGGCCCCTGTCTGATGATCACTGGAATACAGACTTATTTAATGTTCAGTTTTTGGAATGAAAAAAAAAAAAGAGTCAGCTATATACAAATTCATAGCTTCTTAATGTCACTTGACTCTGTCTAAAAACATTACGTGTTGGTCAAGTGCATGATTCAATTAAGAGAACTATACTCAAATACTTACATGTAATCTGGTCAATTTTTTTTTTAATTTAATAATATCTGTAACCAGAGGTTTACCGGTATTAACGAACATTTTTGTGACTAGAAATTCCTCTAATGAACAAGTAGCACAAACAAGGAAAGGACCGCTCTCAAAATTGTAATTTAAAAACACTGTATCAATAACCGTCATATTAATGGTTACCACCTTGATACGGAAGGAAAATCTCAGACAAATGAAGACAGAACTACATTAAAAAAACAAAACATTAACAAAATAAAACAACTGGGTAACTACAAAACAAAATGTAGCGGTAACAAATCAAAATCTCTCCCCACATGAGCCTTTAGCAAGGACAAAACTGGTTCTTGTCAACCTCTCAGAGGAAAGGATGCCCGTTAATGTTTTTGTTGTGTTATTTCGGAAAAGTTCTGTGTTTGGCCCTGATGAGTACAAGAACTTGACAACATTCTTAAATTGGAAAATCATAGAAATGACGACCAAAAACAAAATGGGTTTTTAAAGGAACAGAAAGGACAAACAAGACAGTAGTAAGAAGCTAGGATTGCAGCCCTGAATTCTTACAAGTTCTGGAAGGCGTTGTACTTGGACTGCCAGTCGGCGCTGGAAGCCGCTTTCTTCTTCTTCTTGCCAGCGGCTAAGGCTCGGGCTTTGGCCATGTCCGACAGGTCCAGTCCGCCCTTCTGCGTAGAACAAAAGACAAATTATATTCTCCGCTGACTCATTTTTTATGTTATCTGTGAGGCAAGTTCAGACAGAGCCATCTCTAAAACCAATCGGTTGGCTCCCATTCACGACAATTCCACAGGACTTACTCGTAAACTAGCTGGGGAGGGGTACGATCTGCCCCAAAGAATCTTGGCCGTCCCATGCCTGGTCTTTTTAAAACTTGGTATGCATGGAAAGACGGTCATTCTGAGCACATCCATGAAGCTTTAATTCACTCCAACATAGGCTTTTTGTTGTTCTGTCATTTAATGCTTGTAGCTTTACGCTTTGGACCTCCACGCACCGAGCGCATGCCAGTAGGAAAACTTAAAATGTTGCCGCCACCTGTCTTGGGTGGCAAAAATAGGCATTTATTGAGAATGGTAGATTTGATTTCATAACATGGTGTCAAAACTGGTCATGAGACATTGCAAGAATATACTCTGTAGTCTTGGCACTAAAACAAAAAACACTGCCTTGGCATAGTGGAAATTATCTGGAGGGAGGGGGTGCTTTCATTTTTTATGGGAACAAAAAAAATAGAAATGAACAATATTTAAACCCGCCAACCTCCTTAGGTCTCTCCGGTTTGGACTCTTTGACCTTCTTATCAGCCTTAGGCTTGACTGGTTCGGGCTCTGGCTCTGGGGGTGGGGGTGCTTTGCTCTTGGAATGGTCAGGCTCATCCACGACTACGGGCTCCGGGGTGGGGGCCCTGGCTGGCTCCGGCTCCTGGTGGCAAAGGAAAAACCGGTGTAAAACATTTGACACTAATATCTCCCTTCGGAGAACTTGAACAGATTAATCTTGCAAAGACCATTCCCGATCCTCTGGTACGGAGGAAACCAAATACAGATCGTTTCAACTCCCTTCCTGAGAGTGCATCAAGGTCCCATGTAAGTAAGAGTGGCTAGGCCTCTACCTTCCTCAATCCAAACACCAAAAAAAAAAATAAAATAAAAAAAATTTCCTACTGAATCTTCAAGGATCTTAGAGGGTTCAGGATAAACTTCAAATACAAAACTATCCCCAATCTTTCAAAATCAAAAAGGGACCGGAAGGGTTTTACGGGCACTGGAGGGCCACTTTCATATTACATGACATTCCTTGGATGTTTAAGGCAGAGAATGACGACAGTGGGTTTCAGCACAGTGGCAGATATGAGGAAGATTCATGGAAATCTTGGCAGAAATTCCTTGGAAGCTAGCATGATTAAAGGCAAAAATACTGTGCTGAGTCCATTCTAAAGAAATCTGTACCCTGAAGAAAAAAAAAAAGATGAAAAAAAAAAGCAACCTTGGTTTGAGCACAAGTGCTGTTAAAAAAAAGCCAATGATGAGAACTTGAGACGCAAGAACCATTTGGTGTACAACACTGCCTTGTGTGTCATAAAAAAAAACGACAGGCCCTGATTTGCCTTTTTGCCTCTTCGAAGCTAGCTGAGGGGTTTGCGACATTCTGTTTCTACACAGAAATAAAGCTTTTTCTGTCGGCCTCGTTGAATAGACACACTTGGAAACGATTCAGAACTTTGATGACTGCATCTGCTATCCAATTCTTCTTGATGCTGCCGGCAAAAGGAAAACATACCTTCTCAACATGTTAGTACATGTGTTGTTTTCAAGCCCACTCTAACTAACATACATGAACAACACAAACGCGATTCTGCCAGGGCCAGCAAAGCTGAATGACATTAGAGAAACCCATGACAAATACACGGGAACTTATCCACTTAGTTCTTCAAGCTGCACACTTTCTCTTTTCAATTTTGAAGGTGCCATTTGCCACCAGCTATCATATGCCATTCTCTGTGCAGAGACTGGCAACTAGTAGCTCATTGAGGAAATCACGTTCACTGTGGATTGACGGCTTCTGCAGTAACACGAGAGTGAAAACGTTGGCAGAAAGCCACTTGTAGGCCTCAACAAGTGTCTAGAAGCATTCACAGACTCCCAGATTGACTACGATGCTACAAGGGGGTATGAATGCAAAGCCTTGTGAGGGATTCTAGACCCATCACAGCAACATGTCTGAGCAGAACTCTTAAGCGTTAGAGTCACGAAACCAGCAAATAATAAAAAAGTGGAGACTGAACTTAACAATGGTAACAAGAGACACAAGGAACAAAAGCTACGCATAAGCTGTGATGTCACAAGACTTTCATCCTGATTTGGGAAGTTTTATCTTTCAGTGTTATAATCAAGCTATCACAGGTCAGTCGCATGTTCACCCTAACGTCACAGCTCATACAAATAGCATGAGAAGCACACACATTTGCAACAGTTTATTCCGTTGTTATGGACTCAATTCATAATTCAACCAGTAATAGAGTACCGAAGTGAATACGTCACGCACACAATTAGTGTGTAAAACCCATTAGCGCGAGAACCAGCGCGTGCACCAACATGCCCGTATTCCATTCGTTTGCACTGCACTTTCTGGTTCACAGTGATGTCACACTTTGGTACTCTATTGGACAGGTAATTGTCTATCTTGTGACTGACTTCATTACAACTCCTGGCAATTAAGTATTATTAAAAGAGTTATATTCAGTCAGAATATGTTTACATGACCAGCAGTAAATGCTTCGCAGGTATTTGATAACAGCCATGGACAAAATTTGAAATATTCATTGGAACAGAAAGTCTTCAGTGCTCATTTTGTGGGAAGCAACGGAGCTACACAATGTCCATGGTGATGATTCGATGCCAACTTGAAATTCAGCCAGCAAGCATTCAACCTACAGTAGTATTCATGTATGAGTATGCATAATCTCAGATCGCCTTTTAGAATACCTTCACCAGCTTTCCCATGTCCACAGTCGCAGGTTAGATTTCCAGCCTTGTTACTAAGCACCCAGTGTTATTAGCCGGGGGAGGGGGGAAACGAGGGAGAAGGAAAACTTCCCCTCCCCATAAGAGCCTGGCTACATAGCCAAGGGGGCTCCCCTCTGGCAAGAGCCTGGCTACGCCTCTGAAAACACCGCTTTAAGGAATGGGGAGGTGGCGAAGTGGTGAGGGGAGTCTTACCGGCTCTGGTGTGGGTTCTCGCACAGGTTCTGGTGTGGGCTCCCTCTCTGGTTCGGGTTCGGGGACTGCTGCAGGCTCTGGTTCCTACGGGGGTGTGTCATGTGTACAGTTTGCTTGTTGGGTTTATTCTGTTTTTCATTAATATTGAACACTCCACACATACACTGCAGCTTGCGAATGATTAAAAACGTCGACAAATCACAAATATGCAAGTCTTATTTTTTTCCCGAGTAATTGTTAAAAAATAATTCCTGTTGCTATGAATTTCCCATGAGATGTTTTGGGCTACATTCCTTTCTTTATAAGCTTCCCGCTTTCAAACTGGTTTTCAATTATTTATTTATTTTTTTGGAGGATCAATCAATGTTTAAAGTCTGCCAGTCAAAATTCTTTGAGCAGATTGACATTAAGAGTCGATTTCAAGTGACACCAGAAGGTATTGATGTGACATTCGAAGTGGCAGGCTCAAACGATTTGGGCTCTCTGCTTAAATAACGTTCACTGCCTCGATTTTGCGATGCCAGACCCCTAGGGCTGTTACTCATTAACAGAAGTTTATCGATTGCATCTGATAAACTGTGACACAGACCGTCCACAAAGATCATGTCGATAATTGCCCAAAGCGATAATTGTGTCTCGTTCAGCACTGAAAGATCTCACATTAAAATTTCTGTCCCTGATGAAAAAAAAAGGCATTCAAATTTAAGATAAAAAATTGTACTTGCTCCACTCCCTCCACAAAACCCCTACAAGATGTGTAGAAAATAACAATTCGATGAAAAAAACCCCAAAACAACAAAGAATTTAAAAATACTGCAATACATGTATTGTTTGCCTTGAACGATCTATGAAACAATGCAAAAATACAAATTATGCATATCATTTGAGCAAGGATTTATAAAAGAAAAAAACCATATTCACTGCCTCATCCTGGCTTCGTGTTTCACGCTTAGTGACTGCTTCCGGAATGTTTTGCAAGGATTGCCTGTTCACAGCTTAAAGGATCATGTGGGGCTGAGTGGAATATGGATTGTGCCCAAATCGAATTCTGTCAAGCGCACACTTGAAACACTTGCATCGGTGTGACCGCACGGTGAGGCCAAATTTGACGGCACAATTCAAAACAACTTCCTTTTCATAAACAGACCGCTTGATTCTAAGCTCTGTGAACAGGAGCGTTCTTGACTACAAGTTGATGCATAATTCAACAAACTTGACGTTGCGTGTATCAGGTCTTCCACTCTTAAAATTAATGCACAATTTGTACAACGTACACTGATTTTTTTTTCTCAAGTGAATTTGGGCATGCATACACTAAAACCGACTTCAAGGACTTCTTATAGACAGGAAGGGTACAGTAATCAGTGACTGGTGAAAAATGTGTACGATTATGTACAAAATGCATATGAGACAAAAATGAGTGAAATTACGCGCAACATGTCAATAGGGTTAGTGTGATAGTTAGACATACAGAAACCTTCAGTCTTTCGATGGAGAAGAGGAATTGTTATTTAGAGTAATATTTTGGTCTTTCATGCACCACACAGGACTATTTGCATTCAAAGCAGCATTAGTGTCTTTAATGTGGGGTTTCTGGTGTACCGGTCCGCACCGAACGAAACCAGTTACAAGTCCCCAGACCTACTGTGGAGTTCCACACAATGGCTGATACACAAGAATATACAATGTGTTTGTGTCTGATTACTGTGCAATATGACAGCTCAGGCACTGCTGGCATTGAACTTGTGAATTTGGATCAGCTTACGTAAGATGTTTGTCACGTGAAGAATGTGGGAAATGTCATTTTGCCAGAGGCATCATCTTGGAAAGGGATGAACGGCGTATTTCACAGTATGCAGAAGAACAGCAAGTGAAAAGGAAATGTAAACATGTTCAAGTGGATGAAGTTACCGGTACAATATGTTTGTACGTGACAAGACATTTACATGTTACACAATATCCCCAGTGAAGTTGGCAAGGACGGGGAACATCTACAGTGTGTCTATGAGATCGTTGCACTGGACGGAACAAGTGTGTTTACCAAGTTGAGCCAATGAATTTATTCTGATTGATGGAAATTTCACAGATGCTAGTGTTACTGGAATGTCCACCAGAGGGGGAAAAAAAAACAACCCTCGGAATTTCAGTCCCCTTGAACGCTTTGAAGAATCTGTTGCACTGTACATGTACTTCAATACTGGCATGTCTGGTCCGTTAAAGAGCAGACACAGACTTTATTCCCAAGATGGCCGGTTTGGTCTTGCTCCTCAAATCCACATCATTTCTTGAACACTCTGAAATGGGAGGAAGCCTGACCATTTTACAATTTATAGCCTCATTTAGAAAATATTTGTCATCTGGATGATAAAGGTGAAGTGGCTTTCCATCCATAAACCATTGGTGCAAAAGGATGATCTATACTTTGACTCTGCTGCATCATCTTTGCTCACATTTATTTCAAGTTTTGAGGACAATTTTGACTGGGATTTACTGGCTTTACATCCCATGAAAGGCCGACTCATGAAAAAGGCCAATACTTCACATTTTGGAGCAGGACCGTGGGTCGTGTCTCTCTGGTTTTCCAGTGAGAATGGTGTGACAATTTGATCCATGTTGAGGATGGCCGGACCAAATCACTGTGGAAATCCCAGCCTGCTTCAGCCCCATGAACCTTTACAGTCAAAACAGTTGTGTGTTCGACAAGGACTCTGGCGCAGGAGAGGACTGTTAGTATGATCACGACAAACTTGTTAGTCGGAAGTTGTACACATGAAGTGACCTGGAGAGGATGATTTGAATTTCAAACCGTGTTTTGGGTATAATTAGCTTTTTTGTGATTGGTGCGATGGGAGAACATTCAGACCAGGCGTGTCTTACCGGTTCTGGAGTTGGCTCTTTCTCGGGTTCTTTCACAGGTTCTGGTTCCTGGGTGAATGTTCACAGACAGTGTTACTGTGCCTTGTTTGTTTGATTCCATATGCTAGGGTGTCTGATTTCAGGCCCCTGCCACTAACATTTGACCCTAACCCCCCGGAGACTGTGAAAAATCCTGTTAATAACTCTTTAATTTGGGGGTTTGAGAACTATTTGGGTAAATGGATTACAGTAAAAGATGGCCCACGCTTTCACTTGGTCATATCACTCTAATGAGGACACTTCACAAACGGCATGTGGAGTAGGATTATATCAGCATCGTGAATGAGGGCTTCCCCCATTACTCTATCACAGTTTCATCGAGTCCAACAAAGCGCATGCATGTTTAACCAGAAGGGGAAAACACCGAGCAGCACAACTTTGCAAGTGCACTGGCCCACTGACAAGACAAGTGCTGCAGGGGAGCAGAAATTGGCCGATCGGAAGAAATGCTACACGCACAGAACACGCCTCACTCCACTTTGAAGGAAACGTGACTGCACACGTGTAGCCTTGACTACTCTCAATTCCAAACCAATGACACAGTTCTAGTTCAGAGAACATGCCACAAGGTCACGGTTGCATTCTTTTTTTGGGGGGGGGGACGTCACCAACTGGTATGTGAGAATTCCGATCAATGAGGGCCCTCCCCGAAGTAGTGTCCCTCCCACACACATTCTTTCAGTGAGATTACACGCTTGCTCATTTTCTTTAACAGTTGAACTAACGTTTTAAATCAGTAATAAAACTGGGCCATCTCTTGAGCTGACAGGATAAATGTACGCGCAGGATGGGTATTTAATGAAGGCCCACTGGTTACCGGTATGTGTACGGTGCATGCACAGTTGGGGCCAAATGTTTACACACCCATCACAGAACAGTTTTCCTTGAATTTCACAACTTCACTCATTCCTACCAACTTTTCTGTTCCTTAGGACAGACAAAGATGGGTCTCTTCATGTACGTAATGTACATGGTTCATGCCCCTAATAAGTATAAACACTCAGATGCATGCATGATCGATAATTCTATTTATACAAAACATACAAATTACCCCACACCGTATTATTTAGCGTCACTTTCTGTATTTTTTTGGAATATCTCATAGTTGCAGTGGACCACTTTCTGAAGTGTTTTTGAACAACAACACCGGGGTAGATGTAAATTTTCATTAAATAATTTTCAGAAATATTCATATTTTGAACCATAATAAATGTCTCTGAGTATTTTCAACTGAAGTACATACTGTGAACATTAAGAAGAAAAAGTTGGCCAAACTATTTCAAACAGCGACAAATTGAGGAAAACTGTTTTTCTACCAAGTGTATGTACATGTAGGTACCGGTAGGTATAGGCATTCACCGCGTTCAGAGGACAAGTTGTTTTGTTAGGGAAATTTGAACCGAGTTGGGGGCACATTTCCGAGTCCCCACAACATTTTCGATCCCCACAAAATAGGTGAAATGTCGACGGTGTGGGAATATGCAAACCGTTTGCCCCAACTGTACCGTACATGTACATGCACCTGCTTATTGTGTTACAATCACACGAACTCGGCACTTGATGTCAATACAATATGTACCAGTACATGACTCGCTATCCCCAGCTGCCTACATTTCTCTGCCACCCACTCGTCCCTCAGTCAGGTCACTGCCACTTGTTTTTGTGTGAGAGGGCTGCACTTTAGGAGGCATTCCACGTATTTGGGATCAAAGGTTGCTCGGGGCAACAAGAGAAATTTATTTTTACCCACAGAGTAGGGTCAAAATGTTAACATTTTTATACTCATGGAGTGTGGGCTGACAAAGCTGTTTCTCGGGGAAATCAAATAATGGTTGTTAAGTCCCGCAGTATAGATAACAAAGTCTGTCAAGCTGAAAGAAGACGATAAATGGATCGTGCCAGATACTGCTCAACCCTTGGTCTTTTCACCCCCTCAATAGAGGGCCTCTGCATCTGCAGGCACATTCATGAAGTCAATAAAGAGAGACCAATGGCTCATAACTGGAGATTGCCACATCCTGGACAAGTTGGGGCAGAATGGGACATTCAACAAAACCTCCATGTGAACCCCGAACTGTGGTCTGTTTGATTATGCATTCCTCCCTCAAAGGGAAATGCGAGGACTCTGGATTTGTTAGGGAAGAATGAGAGTGTATCAAATTAAACTGTGGGGTCACCGGAGGTTTTATACCCCAAGGTACTGGTAACCCACATTTATAACTGTGTTACTCCTTGCAAAACCTCCAGGTGAATCTCACGTGACCATCTGTTTGGTTTTGCACCCTCCCCTTACAAGAAAATGTGTCCACGCTGTGGTTAAGGTGATCATGCAAAGGAACTGTACATGTTTCAGTGAACTGGCTTAACCACATACATGTATTGAGTACCAAAGTGAATACATCACACGCACAAATGTGTGTGTAAAAAGCATTAGCGCCAGAACCAGCCCATCAGCCAACTCATGCGCACTCCCTTCGTTTGCATGGCACTTTCTGGTTCACAGTGACGTCCCACTTTGGTACTCTGTACAACATGTACATTGACATGTATACACGTACAATTACCGGTACATACACGGGTAGGTGCACAGTGCACATGTACAATGTACATGTACACGTAAGCAGCTGGATTTTAACTTTTTGTGAAACAATGAAAATGTGAATCCTGAGGTCCGAGTCCCCACAACATTTGAAGTCTTCCCCTCTTCCCCAGACCTACATGTACTGAATGTCATGTGAGCAGTTATGGAAACAATACCTTGCACTCATGAGAAACAAGACTGTACATGCATATCAACAGTGTGAGTGTAACCAACCAACCAACAAACAGAAATATGACTTGTGGTATTAACAGGAAGGGTCCAACACAGATCAAGGTCAGATGATTCTGACAATATAGCCTGAAATTTCAGGCATTCGGGAGGGCTTTCATGTCTGTGCACTCACTGTAAGGCGCATTCATGTATCTGGACATGTTGTATGAAAATTGAAATAAGGCTTGAAATCAGGTTACTGCTGGAGGACCTTGAACCTTGCAAATGTATAAGATCAAAGCTCAAATATTTTTACCAGGTCTGAGTTGGCTTTTCGGGGAAAAAAAAGAAAGCAGTAGACAGAAGAATCTCCGACAGGTGGGATTCAGATAAGTGCGAAGACTGTGCCATGCAGCCACAATGGCAAGCAGCCCGACACATTTGCTCCTATGAACAGAAAATGCCGTTTCTCTCTGGCAACCGTACAAGTTGGAATAAGGATGACTTCTTTCAATACTGTACATGTACTCGTTCATCATTGCGTGTTGTACAACAAACCTGAGATGTTGGGTCATGTCAAACATTTAACAAAAATTAATGTCATGATAATGGCAGACAGCTGGACAAGATGTTCTCGTACTGAATACATGTAAACATGCGTCACACGATGTTTACCATACACTTATGTGAGGTTGAGTTTCACTGTCACTGTCAGACTGTTAATTTTTGGAAATGGGTTAATGACTGACCATATACACAGACATGTACAAGTGTGTTATTGAGAGGTGAAAGTGTTTACGACATGTTAGAAGTGTGAGTCGGGGGGATGTGTGGACTCTTACCGGTTCTGGTGTGGGTTCTGGTGTGGGTTCTGTTGTGGGTTCTGTAACGGGTTCTGTAACAGGTTCTGGCACAGGTTCTGGCTCAGGTGCCTACAGAATTGTCAGGTAATATTGTACTCAATATTTTTCAAACAACTCACAACAGGGATGTGCATGTGTGCACATGTCACAGTCTGGCTACATGTATTTCATGAAATCCTGCCAGAGTAATCTGCGGGACATGTGTCAAGTGACCAACATGTAAAATGCACATTGTGAATGACACTTGAATTTCAAAGCATGCTTTCATAAATAATTCTGAAATCCCTGAGGACTTATACAGCTATGGCCACGCTGCCACTTTCAGAGTGTGACAGGCTTTCAAGCAAAAGTGATCATGTACAGTGTACGTGTATCTTTTCTTCAAAACACATGCGCGCCATGTGCAAGTAGAGTCAGCCATACAGCTCAAACCACTAAACTACATGTACGGTACACTTCGTCAACTACCTTTCACCTGCAAAAAGGTCACATTTTGATAAACCATCCTGCTTACGGACATCAGGGCTTCATTAATCTGGGAATGCAATAATTAACTAAACCCAACCTTTCACCAACTCTAGGCTCATAAATGCCCAAGCCCTTATGTGCACTACCCAAGGCATGAATGCAGACATGATAGAAAACAAGTCAAGTTCATTCATCTAGCTCAAGAACATAAAAATCCTTGCAGCTCAACTGGCTCATTGCTGCTCTCAGCCGCTGCCGAATCAACCCTCAGACACTTATCTGTGTCTGACGCGACAGGTAGTGGAGAAAAATGTAAATGTGCCATTAATCGAACCCCGAATCACGCTGACCTTTTCAAAGGATTTGAGGCTGTCGTATTCCTAGATCCCCACTCTTGCTGGTACATGTACATGTATTTTGATTTTCATAAAGCTGTGCCCTGAATTGTGAGGAACAAAATGCTTTGGCTCGCTGAGCATGAAAGTCAAGGCAGAGCTGCACATCTTTATATCGACTGCCATCAACCTGCTGGTACACATACCTAATGGTTCATACAGCTGTGAGGTGTAATTTTTAAAAAAATTGAGAGAGTGACCATACTGTAGAGTGGCATTTTGCAAGTGGACCAACCTGTTCAAGTGGTACACGCGTGCCTGAAATTTTCAACCAAATGTGCACGAACAGAAAGTGTACACGGGTAGAGATTGTACGGTGTGCATGGTTTCCAACTTAATGTGCACAACCCCACAGCCTTGGACTAGTTCAGAAATGGCAACGTGTGTGTGCGACCCATTTTCAAAATCATCATCGGATTACAGGGACAACGTGCATGTGAGCGTGATGGGGACCACAGATGTCGTAGCAACAAATTCTTTTCCCAGTGACTCAGACCAAACAAAACAAATTGTTCCAAAATGTGCACAAACCCACAGCGTGTCAATAGTTCAGAATGGGCAACGTGTGCATATGAGACTCATTTTCAACAAAATGTGCATTTTAAGCTCACCGTCCGCACTGGTTCAGAAATGGCATGAAAGTGGTGTGCAACCAAATTTCAATTGACTACAGTGTGTAGTTCAGAAATGGCACAGAGTGCATGGGGCCTGTTTGCAACTGAATGCGCACAACTAAGCTGCCTTAAAGAAATGACATGGAAGTGTGTGTGACCCATTTCCAACTGAATGTGCAGTAGCGTACAGCACTCTTTTCTTACCAAAGCACGTGCTGGTGAAAAAAAATAAATAAAAATGGTGTCAAGGTGTTCACCATTCATTTTGTAATACTTTTTTGAACGATGGGGAAGTGTAGTGTACAGAACAAACGATCAAGGGGGAAAAAAAAAAGAACAAAACACAAAATCATTGCATGCATACCGGTTCCGGTGTTGACTCTCTCTCGGGTTCTGATTCTCGCTCTGGTGAAGAATCCTTCAAAATCAAGAAAAATAATCCAAATCAAAAAATGAAACATGCGCAACGCAAAAAACACACAAAAAAGCAAGCCAACATACAGTTTGAAAAAGCGGCTGCTGACTTGAGTGATGGCATTGTACATGTGACAAGAAATGAAAGCCCACACCTGCCATCACCTGCCTTTTAATAATGTACATGTATATGTACACTGTATGCATGCACCTACGTGTAATGTTTTAGGCATTGTGCACATGTACAAGTACGTGTGGTGTACATGTACATGCACTGAATTTTTCCCTTTCTCTCCTGGGGGCATGTTGCTTAACACAGCATATTTTCGTGCAAACGAACACCTGATGGCTGACGATCCTTACTTATTTATGGCCACTTGGGCTCTTCCGCTCACGAACGGCGATGAAATTCCCAAGCTGCTCGTGTAGAGATCCATAGCACTGTACCTGCTACGGGCAAGCCTACGTCAAGACTGTCTATCTCTTTTGTCACATACACACGAGAGACATCCCGCTCAGGTATCCGGGACAGCCCTCACTGGTGTTTTTTTTAACTCGTCTGGACATTTCTGTGCAAGTACATGTTGCAATTATGACTGCATGTAATATACATGTACGTACATGTACGCATCACTATGTATGAATGACTAAGCAAGACATGTTCAGACAGATTTTTAACTGGGAGGGGGGACATCTGGCCATCATTTGGATACCTTGGCTGTGTTGAACACTTCTCTTCTACTCTGACATATTTTGTATGTGAAACTATTGACTGAAGACTGCAGACGTATACATGTACCGGTGCCAACCATGCCAACTGTTCCAAAATTTTGAACAAACCCCTGCTTCAAGACTCAAGTTACACATTGTTACTTAAAGCAGAGCATCGAACCGACGGTAAAGCGTGGTAAAAAACGAACATGTCGCGGTATCTGTACATGTACCAGTAAATGTATGCAGACTCTTGTAATGGGACACCTTGCAGTACCCAGCTGTTCACACTGGGAACAGTAGAGTACTTAACCCACATGTACAGGAACTTTCAAAGGCATTCCAAGAGGTTCCCTGAACTGAAGAATGATCACTTGGTAGGGCAAATGGATAGGTGATACATCCCACAGCACTAAAGTCACCGGAGAACTTCCTCCTAGCTTCGGCTCAGGGATGTAATTGGACATTTTCCAGTAAATTTGGGTGATTTATCCCACAATGCATCCTATTTTTGGTTGACATCATGATACGTTCAGTAGTAGGCCACCACGCACACACTGACCACAATTTCCCTGCACAGCAACTTGTACATGTGTGTGTTGTACACTGTGCATAATGTATACATGTACATGTATGTGGGCCTTGTACTGTACCAGACGGGGGAGGGGTTGCCAAATTACATACGTACATGTATGTACACTGTACTCTGGTGCAACTATTCAAGATATGGCGTGGGGAGTCGGGTTAGCGTGGTGGTTCTTACCTTGCCTTCCACCTCTGTGGTCCGGGTTCGAATCCCGGCCCGGTCCACATGTGGATTGGGTTTACAGTTCCTACCTGATTCCGTGGGTTTTACCCAGAAATGTCTTCTCTGGGGTTTCCCTCCAACCTCTAAAACTGTAACTGCTTTCATTGTCTCCTCTCTACAGGTTTTGTCGGGCTTGCGAGCTACCGTACAGTGCCTAGGGCACTTTTGAGGAATTGTTGGTGTCATTACCAGAAATGATTAATAATAATAATAATAATATTTCACAATTTATTTAAAACCAGAAAATCACTGGTAGAATTACTAAGGACTTCAGTCTGTTAGGGAAAATATGGCATGTATTTGTACATGTAGTTTTCAACTCCTAACAAGGAAGGGGTAGGGGATGTTTCCATGCTTCCTGTTAGGATGAGCTCCACACTGTGTGAGCCAGCGTAAAGACAAGGGGGTAGGGAAACAGGGACCATGATCTCCTCCCTCCCCCGAGCAAGACTTTGTTTCGCATGTGAAAGATGACAGAAGGGCGTCTACTTCATTCCCCTTCCATTCACAAGCGTGAAAAAAAGCCAAAAAATTAAGCTCCACCCTTCAGGAAATCCAGAAAAGGCCCTAAAGCAATTCTGCTCAGCTAAAAAAAAAAAAAAAGGTCCTGGGTTCGCCCTTGGCCAAACATGGCCACTGAAGTACATTTACAACAAGACGACGGATGTACATCAAACAATACCACGCCGCTGCCCAGTTGGTCATCAGACTTTCATGACTCTGGGATGGCCTCTAAATTCAATTTGAAAAACACTGAATTTACATGTACATACGATGTACAGGATATTACCCCTGTACATACCAGTACATGTCTTATGACAACAAGAGCTTGTCCTCATAGCACTGAGTGGTATAACCATCACCTTATCTGACCTATTTTTAGTTTCCTTGTTTTTTGCTCTATGTATCGGTATCCTCTCAGCTGTGGTACTGCCTTTTTGCTGTACAGTACACTCACTGCCCAATCACAATTCCTCAGATCATGTGTGGGAGGTTTAAATGCAACAAGTTCATGATTCAGAGTCAAAAATCAAATGGGGGGGGGTGGGAAAAAGGGTCAGCCTTAAATTCACTGGATTTTTCTTTCAACATGAACACGTGTGCACCAGAATATGTACATGCAGTTCCAGACCTGGTTCAAGTTTTGCACCTCTGTCTGCCGTCTGGAAATGAGTCATGTTTCACATTAGACTTGTTTTTTTCTTTTTTTCCCTGCTTACATAAACGTAATTGTTCTGAAATCAACAACATTTGAACGTACATGTACCACATGTGCAATGCAGAAAAGCATTTCCTCAAAATCAACTGAATAAGATCAACAAACCCCGGCATTCATTATCCATCATCAATGTACCATAGACTGGCGTGCATACATACATTTACATGTACATGCATCACACACTGTACACACGTGTGTTTATACAGGGCAACTTGGAATGGGCAGTTGACAGGTTCAGTGTATGACATGTTGACAGGTATCCACAGTCAACAGTGAACTGAAGAACATGACACACCGGTCATCCCAGTCTACATAAACAAATACAAAAGGTATTTTAAACTGGTTCCAGAAATGCACACAGGTACATGTACCAGTAATGTTTTGTCATTACAGATTAATTTTATTCAACGTGCGTTTTTCCGTTTTTCTTGACACCATTTAACAGTGTGCACTTACAAGTTCAAGTGTAACTTGTACACGTATTTGCACGAGACCAATTAAGAATAAATGTGTTTTATTCCTATGACACGACAGTTGAAAACGGGGGAGATAGGAAGGAAAAATGATAAGGGTACGTGGTCTGTATACTCATTCAGGGTGCAGTCAAGTGTTAATTGGTTCACAATAAGAGCAAGAGAGGTCGGATGCCATTTCTTTCAGATGAAATGAACAATGCTTTAACAGGTACCAGTTGTGTGAGTAGGTCTGATGCACCTGCTTTGCACCACCTCTAAACTACATGTACAATAGACACATTTCTTTCCTATTGCATATATTCCCCAAATCCCCACCCCCCCCCAAAAAAAAACAAGTTTACAGAGGTGCCGTCAGAATAGGGTAGGACTTAGATTGATAAATAGGAAGCAAAACTACAATGTACATGTCTGTGTACATTTCTGGGGAATTCTTTTGAAATTACACATTTGTTTTCTGTCCATGCAAAAACAAGTGTGTTTTTCCTGTCTCTTTTGTTGACGAGCAAGTGAGAATTGACAGGCTCAAGTGTAACTTGTCCGTGTTTGAGCACACAGTCAGTGAACAGTACCAGGTAAATACCGGTATGTAAGTAAATGAAGGCTTTTATGTGAAGCATACCATACGTGTGCATGTACATAGACTGGTACTGTATACATGTCCAGTGTACATACATGTACATGTATCAGGAATTCATTTCATGATTAACCCTAACACTCCTCAGTCCTCCAACAGGTGAAGGATTGAGGAGGGTTAGGGTTAATATTCAACTTCAAAGGCTCTATGGGAAAACCAACATTTCTCTGTAAATATACCCACATCTCTGTACACGTACATGAGGGTAACAAACTAGTAGGGAAACATTTGCACATAAATGTGTACAGTCTGGGTGCAGTAAAGCATGGATACGACGAACGATGCTGTGGAAGCTCAATAAATAATTTAACATGTGATTATTAAAAATTCACGGGGTTCCGTGCTGCTTCCTCCACAAAAAAAAAAAAGATGTTTCTCTGGAAGGTAAACAAATTCTGTTCGATAACGACCAACGAAGGAAAAAAGGTACTTCCTATCTAAAAAATACTTTAAAAATATATTTTAATAAGATAAAATATTAAAATATGACAGAATATGGCCATTGATGCGTGCAGGTGTTATGGTACATGTATGTGAGTGTTACACTTCTCTCTGATCAACAGAGTGTTGTGACTTGCCAAAATGCATGCAAGTGCCCAGGATGAAACCTGACTGCCAAGGCCCTCCACGAATGGCGTCTCCTCAGATTTGGGTCATTCCAGAAATTAGGGGTCCAAAAGGGTGACAGTTTTCTGTCCCTGTTACATCTGACCTGGTAACTTGCATTAATTCATCACACTTGGAAATAAGAAAATGTGTTCTGAACTTTAATCGTACATGTATGTCAGATGTGACGGGAACATGAAAAAAAAATGGACCCCTAACTTCTGGAATGACCTATTTGTCAGCTTAATATCACTGCCCACTCATTGATGTATCACAGATATAACAGGTGCATTATTACTAGCAAATTCTACAAGTGAAATCCATATCAGAATGAGGACCCTGTGGATGAAAATGTGTCTGAGGTCAAAGGTGACAAATCACATTTGTTAACAGATATGTCAAAGGTGAAAAAATGACCAGCATGCTATTTCGTCCTATACAAGTGTCCAGGGTCAACATTCAATACTGGCAATTGAACAGATGAGGTAAAAGGGGACACAGAACACATGTTGTCTGGTAAAATGTCAAACATGATAACGGCAATTCTTCTGTTTACTGATGATTCAAGAGGCGAAAATGAACGACACACTATCCAATGTTTCAATCATGGTGCAAAGTTCAAAGGTGAAAGTGCAAGATCCTGTCAGTGGAATGAAATGTGTCTTGGGTTCAGAGCTGGACCAACACATACAACATCCTGGTCAGAGGGGAAACATGCTGGAAGGAAAAATGTTATATTACAGAGGCACGTATGAACCAATGAAAATACATGTGCCAGTGCGTATGTGTACTTTACATGTACATGTAGTTTACAACCATGACAACTACGGCACTTTTCCTGGAGTCTGGACCGCAAACCCCGGTCGAATTGCAAAGAAGGGCAACGCCTGACAGAAAACGGTGAAATGAGATCCACATTGGTGTGGCACATCCTACGGTATACAAATACAAGTTCAACACTGGCAGAAAAATAAAAAGGATGCCAACTTTCCCACCACCAAAAGACATACGGAAATTGTGATGTGATCTGCAAAAACCCTTCACGTGGTGAGCTTTGTCATGTTCTTCAAATTGATCTGGACACTGCCGTGTTTTCAAAACTGTTCAATTCATGATTCTAGACAACATAGATTCATGTTGTAGACAACCTAGAATCAGAAATGGAATAGATCTGAAAACTAATCAGAAATGGAATAGATCTGAAAACTGGAGTGTGTCCATATTAATTTGAATTTTATATGCACCCAAATAACAAAGCTCACCATGTGAAGGGTTTTTGCAGATCACATCACAATTTGCATAAAGTCTGGAAGGGAAATATTAAGAACTGTTGAAGTTGATCTGTTTTTTTTTTTGAGTTGTGTGGCTCTGTGAGAAGGCCCATTTTTTTTCAACTTGATCATTGAAACAGTGTGCTGTATTTGCCATTGGAAGACTGTTTGCCATCCGACTCATGTCCACCATGCACACTACCGGTATGAGTCTCATGATTGCATGAAAGGCACTTATTGGGAAATGAACAGAGTATAAAAGAGATAATAATGGAAATAAAACGGAAGCATACTTGACATTTTTCTGTATTGAATATTTATCCAGGGGATATTTTTTTTATGTACCCACCAGTATAATTCAGTTTATGCATGTAGTTTGTATGCAGATGCTTCAGATCCGACAGCACCCCCCCCAAAAAAAAGGGATGACATTTGCGTAATCAACTTTGGGGTCCTACCGGTATCTAAAAAAGGGAGATAAAGTTGTCGAAATACTTTTTTATGTGGCACAGTTTATGTACTGTAGCTCTATGCAGGATTAGTTTCAATGGTCTAGTCACTCTTCTCTGAGTGCAACATTCACGACCCAGTTACCACATGGTCTATTCCCATAGTACCATGGGGAGGCACCACTGAAGTGAAATCTCTCATTTCAATCAATCAATGATATCACAAATGTTCCCAAGCTATTTTTAACGTATCGGCCAGGCTCAGGCTTTGTTTGTTGACCGTCTGTGTGGAGTTTGCACTGGTGCCTCCAGAGACGAGTGTACCAAAAAAAAAAAAAAAGCCACATTCCCCTGGGAATAGGTTCCCCCCCCATCAAAGACCTTTTGACTTTTCTGTAATAAAAAGGTTCAGAAATGCAGGAGGGGATGTGTATTTTCAACCGACTGGGGAAAATACTGGCAAGTCCTTTTTTGAGGGATATGCTCAGCTGCTCGGAAGAGATCCAGAAGACATTTGAGCAAATATTTTGCAGGAAAAGGAGGCCAACAACTTGAAATATGCAGTCAAGAGGCTATACATGTATGTATGCTGTTTGCTACGCCTTTAAATAAATTACAAAATGTATGTTCCCTAAGGAATCTGCAGTTTGTGCACAGATATACAAGAGAAGGAGGCAGGGGGTTGGGTTAACATCCCCCCCCAGCAATTTTACGAAGTTCTTGCAAAGTTAGTGCATTCCACACAGCTTCTGCATAAACATACACACCCACTGTAGATGTAAACGGAGAACCGAAGCAGTGGTGATTGTCTTTAAATGAAAAGGTTTTTGTGTGTTAAAAACTCCAAATGTTGTCAGCTTGAGACGAAACAAAGGAATTCAAGGAAATGGAAGGAAGACCTTGCAAGGTTCAGGTGGACTCTTCAGAATCAATTTCTCAAACTTTCTACTGACAGCTTTCGGGGGGGGGGGATGTTGGAGTATCAAGGTCGGACAAGTGTTCAAGGTGAAGAGCTTGGCATTTTCATCCAAGCAGAACGTTTCTCACAGGCAATCATGCTTGGTGAGTCGGTGGGCGCTACTACAGGTCAAAGTTGGGACTGGCTGGTGATTTGATGAATTCTCTCAACGCTCATCTTAACAATCCTAGTTATCAAAATTGCATGCGGGTTAGTTGTGCCCAGTCTGAAGCCCGGGAGAAAGACAAAACTTGAATAAAAGTGGAGCAGCTTTTTCCTCAAAGTAACAGAACTGGTGACAGTGAGGAAGAGACTGTAACAAACGTGAGAAACCAGAGCACTCAAGTTAATAGAAGGATGACCAAACATGCAACACATGTGTATGAGTTAAAATGAAGGTCAATGTCAGTCCCACACGCTTGTTAGTAACGACTCCAACACCTGTTAGGGGCAAACAAAATAGCCCAACACCTACGTCAGGGACTGCCGCGGCAGGGGCGGCAAGGACAGCCTCTGGTTCTTGCTCTGCTGGTGTCTCCGGTTCCTCGGAGACCTCTGGTTCTGGTTCTTTTACGGGTTCTGGTTCTGCAGGGGGCTCTGGTTCAGGTTGGGCCTCTTGTTCTGGTTCCGGTTCCAGTTCCGGTTTTTCGGGGGTTGAAATGGGTTCGGGTTCTGGCTGTGGTTCTTCCACGGCCTGCACGTCGGCAACCAGAACTACAGGGGGAACGGGTTCGGGGTCTGGTGGGGGTTCCTGGGGGGGTTCTGTTTGGGGTTGTGGCTCCTCGTCTACCTTGACATCCTGAAGGTTAAAGGAGTCACTTTTAGTGCTTCATAATGTTCATCACCAAAGTTCCTGGAATAAATGTACTTGGCCTGTTAAGCATTAACTGTGTTACTTATAACAAAAACCCTCGAGGCTAGTAAAAACAAAAAACACAAGAAGATATTACAAAGACTCTCTGAAGTTGTACTGGTACATTAAAAAAAGAGCCAGATTAATATGGTCTCAGTGGTTCGTTAGCGAAGTTAGCTCACGTTATGTTTTTTAACCCTAATCCCCTAGGGTGTAGGTATGTAAAATCATATGGAAATCAGAGGATTTGGGACTGTTAGGGAAAGCTATTGGGGAATACTCCATAGCTAAAGTACATGTGCATGTATTTGCAAGGTTAAAGTCAGGTTTTGAAGCTGTCAACATTCGTTTTCGAGAGAATCAAAGCCTGCAAATCCATTGTCCGACGAATCTTGCAAGTATACATGAGTAATTCCAGAAGTTAGGCGCCCACTTTGTTTTGCGGCCCTGTCATATGATTTTGTAAGTTCAGAACACATTTACTAACTTCCAAGAGTGGTGAATTAATGCAAATTACCTGCCAAACAAATACTAATAGTTTGAAATCAATTCCGGTGATATTTCCAAGTCAAATAACAAAGGTCAGATGTAACAGGGACACAAAAATGTCACACTTTTGGACCCCTAATTTCTGGAATTACCCACCTACATGTACGTCACTGAGTCAAAAGTCATTGTGGGGGCAGGCTTCAGAATGCAGTCTCGAGGGATGCATACTGATCTGTTCATTTGTTACCCGTCTCCATATGAGCTGGGTACTGGTAAGGGCGGACGTCCTGAGCGAGATTTTGTGATAGAAGCACACTATGGGAAGCTCATTACATCTGAACCTTGAACAGTACACACGGAGAAGTGTCGACCCCAGTTACTGTATGAACATACATGTATGGTACTTTAGCCAATGAGGATTGAAAGAAACAGACCCATACATGTGGCACAAAAAGTCATGCTTTGCATAAATATACACTTTCCTGTGGCAGCAAGGTCAAACACGATTCATCCAGCCCCATAGGATAGCTCGCACAAAACATGACGTCATTACGTGTTAGGTCTGTTACTTCATGCTGTCCGAAGAAATTAGATCTTGCGAAGGAAGTTGAGCTAACAACACGCTACACACCTTCTCAATTTACAGACGCAGCTACAGCAAAAAACATTTACGGTAAGTTGGCACGCTTAAAACACAACTCAAGAAGTTACACAGGCCATTAAAAAAACCTGGCTCACCTGAATCACCTCAAACCAAACCTTTCTCATTCTGAGAAGAATGGGCACAATACAACGGAGGCAGGCAATCATGTACACATTGCGACGTATTTAAAAGTCTGTTTTACTATGTACTTTTATTTTCATTTCCGTCACGTTTGCTTACTTTAACTAGAAATGTGCTATTTGCCGTTTTCAATGTACCGGTGTGTTTGAGTGTATTGATTTGTCCTTCAACCAATGTTATTCATAACCTTGTGTACATGCTTAGGGCTTACATGTTCTAAGATCTTATGTGAAAATAAATCTAAAACCCAAGCTTGCTAGGACTCGAACACATGACCTCCAGCTTACACACCAAATGTTCTACCCAACCGACCTGCAGTGATGTAGTTGGCCATTTCAAATCCAACACAGCAGGGGGTAATGAAAACAATCCCTAACTGCTGAGACATGGAAATCTTTTTGTTAAGGAAAAGCCAATTTGAATATTTGGAATTCTACTTGTATATGTACATGTGTATATACTTTATAGGAGTGTATATCTTCCAAACAAAACAATTCCATCGACTTTCACTGTCATGGTAGTTATGCGACACTTGAAGACACATGCAGATTTTATACATACAGATTAAAAAAAACCTCAAGGATTATTGTACTTATTTCTACAGTGATTACTTCAAGGTCAAATTGTTCCTTCTTACCCTTTCTGGTTCTGGTGACGATTCCCTCTCGGGGCTGGGCTCCCTGGCTGGTTCGGGTGTAGACTCCACGTCGACCGCTGCCACAGCAACCACCACCTCCGGCTCTACGGCGTTCTCCTCAGGTTGCCTGGCCGTCTCGTTGGTCTCGGCTTCCTGTGTAGCCAGGAGATCAGAACAAATAAAATAACTCAAAACAGGGATAAAAACAAATACAATCTCGAACAGGAAAGGTCACAGGAATTTCAGGGGAAACAAATCAGTAAACACAAGATCTCCATTGTTTTTTCATTGAGAGTGATACTGAACTGGATAAAGGCCAGTTCATGTACTTCAGGCGAAAGAGAAAAAGCGAAACAAATTTGACGTCATGGAAGACTTGCTGCAAAATTTTGCTCAGGTTGAAATGTGCTCGTCTTTTGTGAGTTTAAAGCGCAAATATTTCATCTGACATGTCTGATGTCACAATTTGCGTTTGTGTTTTTGCGCCAAGTTTCAACCTGCCTGTATCGTGCCTGAAAGCCAATTGCTGAAAAATGGTACAGTGCATAAAGATTGCATGTTAACCTGAGAACCTGGGAAAGGCACGTTCTTTTCATGTTCTCTCTCCCCATTTTCATAAATTGCAAAATGTGAAATCAATGTCCCACAGAGGGAAATGTTCTCATACTTTTTCACTCAAACGGGAAAACATTTTGATGCCTTTTCACACTAGCGGGAAAATACAAGCTGCAAATATAAATGTGAACATAATTCTTTCTGCCAAATTTCCAAAACCCATTCAAAGTGTAGCTACACATAAACCAATCTTTTTTTTTTTTGAGACTGGGTACCGTTACCTGAATAAGGGCCATTCACAACAGTGTGCCTCCACGAGTTTGGCTATGCATTGGCCAATCACAACAAATCTGTCAACCCTTTCCAAATGCACATTCAGTGGTCAGAATGCAAACTCTTGGTGGCGCACTATTGTGAAACGGCCATATTATTTGTGGAGTCTGACAACATTAAATTGATTAACCAAAGATGATTTCCAAAACTTACACTTTCAACCTACATGTAAATAATGTTTTTGGCTGGGTCCAGTTGTTGACTTTTCAAAATTCGATATTACAAAAAATAACCCTGGGTGAAAGAGAGAAATGGATTGTGCATTTTAAGTGTGTGCTCTAACTGGGCTAAAAATCTTTACCCAATCAGCCAGTTTTTGTATTTCAAAAGGGTAAGATCATCCAAGCACAAAGCACTCTTGCGAGTCAACATCTAGCTGCACTGATAGCGCAGACTTGGCACTGTTCCTGAATGATCTAAGATACACTTCGTTTTGGGTGCGCTCTGTTGAAATACCAAACTGCCTCATTCTGCTCTTTCTTGAGGTATTCCAGGCCGATGCCGCTAAATGAGGCGATTATTCCGCCATGGCTGCAGAATCTGAGACTATGCCATCCTCACCTCTGCCGTTACGTGCACATCATTGGGCACCGACTCAACGGGTACTGACTCCTCTGTGGAAACTGTTATCTCCTCCACTGGCTCTTCTATCCTCTCAGGTGGGGCCTCCTCTGCTGTGACCTCCACTGTCGTGACGACTCCGTTCTCGGCCGGTAACGCCTCCCCGTTGACCTTGGGCTCCTCCTCTTCTCCCTTCGGCGGTGCAGAGTTCTCAACCTCTATGAACTGGCTCTCGTCGGCTATCTTGGCGTCGACGGTCAGCGCGTACTTCTTGTTGTGCACATCCAGCTCCGGATCCACGACAAGCAGGGCCGTGCGGTCCCCGCCACTCCGGATCCGCGCCACAACCTGTGCATGCGTCTCCCGCTCGATGTTGACGCCGTTGACCTCGATGACACGGTCCCCCTTCTTCAGATTGGCTTTCTCTGCCGGGGAGCCTGTGTACAGCAAACAGGGAAAGCAATCATGCACTTAACATGTTTGAACAGTATGTGAATACAAATTTCATGAAATGCACAGAGTCTTTTGTGTGATTTACTCTCTTACTTCAGTTCTGGTTAATAAACAAGGCGGCTGTCCATTCAATGAATGAAGTCGTATTTATTTTTCATTCCATGACATCTGCCACTAAAATGTGCCGGGAGCTACAGAGAAGACTATGGCCATGTTCCCACAGACAGGTGTGCATGTACAAATACAAATCAAACACGAATCGACCACAGTCTGGTTTTCAGTACTGCTCAGCCATTCCTCTCTATGTGCATACAGTACATGTACTAGCACATACAGGTAGTTTTGTTGTGGTGGAGTAGAGACATAGTGGCTGTGCAGGACACTTTCAGCAAATTTCACTTTAAGTGAAAGGGCACTGCAGCCAACTTGGCCTTGGAATAGGGTTTTTTTTNGGGGGGGAGGGCACTGCAGCCAGTGCACTGGAGCATCACAGCAAAGGTCGCTCGTGGTCACTGTTAATGTCAAAACAAACAGCACATGTTGATTCAGCCAAAACACTGTACCAACAGGACAGCACAGTTACAAGAACAAATTTATTCACCACAACTTCACCACCAGGTGAGCAAGTCTGTACACTGAGGCACAGCTTACTGGCCAACCTGCCAACGTGCTTCAATGCATCCATGCACTGTTTTTTTTTTCCCAGGAACAACTGATCCTACGTACTGTAGAGCTCTGGGAATTTAAGTCTTTCACAATTCGCTTTTCATGTGCCTGGAGTGCTCAATGGGACTTCAGACACCAGAGTACATGTATACACTGTAACTGAATCTACAGTGTACATTTGACATGTGGACCCCTCGGATACAGTAGCCATTTTTTTTTAAAGAAGCCAGGAATATATGTTTGCTTTAGCCTACATGTACATGTACAGTGTACTTCTTCATTTGCCCTCCGACTGACTGGTTAAGAACTAAAAAAAAAAGAAGGAAATTCTCACAGAAAACATGCCCCACTTACCGGTGCTTGTACCATACTTACGGTACATGTGTATATTCGGGATCACCTTCACATGGGACATCCCCCTCCCCTTTTTACATTCCAGGAGCCATTCCATTTTGTGTTAATGGTACTGGTACATGTACATTAGATCTACCACTGGAATACACCAAGATTTCAAATGCTCATGCCGAGAGAAGGCATTCCTGACACCCAAATTCTCAACTGTTGCAACTCATTTTGCCAAGTTCCCATGGCTTCAACTCTGGGCCCCTTTCAGAACGTGGCAAATGGCGAGCACTGCTCCCTGGCCTCTTATCTAAAGCGTCCATCAAGCACAAGCTCGTATTAAAGTGGATTACAATTGGCCAATTCTTCACTTCAGCATAATTACACGACCTTTGCCCACAATGACGGAAGCCGTTCAGCATTCATTCATGCCATGGAGTGATTTAAAACTCTGAAGTGCTCGAATTTGATTGTTTCAATTCTTTTGAGCTCACTTCAGCTGTGAAGTAATTTTGGGGGCTGGCGTGGGTAACGTGGTTGAATTTCCATGCTATGCCTACACTGTTAACTTTGCGTCAGCAGCTCTGGCCTCCCTCACTTTTTTGGTTCAGTGCAGTCTTCGAGGCACATTACGGCTGCATGCAGTTATCCGATCCTGGCCTGTTCATATTTCACAAAGATAACATGGTTGACTTGGTAACATGATTTCAGTACTTATTATCCTCATTCTTTTGTGAGTACTTGTGAGAAATAACTTCTGTACTTCTGCAAATGGAGGGAATGTTATACCAAAAGTTTGTTTTTTCACAGACAGGCCACATTTTGCCCTGTGAAGGAAGAACTGTTTAATGTAGATCTAGTTACACAAATCTACACAGATCTAGTAATGCAGGGGTACTATGGGACAGACGGAAGGAAAACCTGTGGATGATTCTGACTGGAACATTACAATGGTTCATTACATGTACCGGTACATACAGCATGGATGCACGTACATGTACATTGAACATACATGTAGGTTACTTTCAGTGCAATCACAAGCACCTGTGCACAATAAACCGACAATTAAGTCTGCTCCATTAGAACTATATTTTTATATCTAAACTGAGATAATCTGGTTTAATGGGTCTAATATCAAAAACACCCTGCAATCTGCAGCCTACTTGTACAGGTGCACACCACCCACAGTACATGTACAATATTGCGTGAATTAGGGTTGCATCCGCCCTATTTGTTTTTGTATCAAAGGTCGCACAATGTGTACACATCACACCCAATGAATCCTCAGTACATGTAGATGTACCATAAAACATGCAGAGGGCTTGCAGGGTGTCAATCCACATCTGGGCGGTGTGGAGGAATGCAAGGCAGCACAATGAGCTTTGCACTGCAGTGCACAGTAACTTATAAATCTGCTGATAAGAAAAAATCCATGGACATCCAAAACAAGAACAAGTATGCAGGGTCACCAAAGGCACTGAATTGTAGATCACTAAATTTACATTGGAAATTTATCATACAGCAAGTTGTTTTCTGAATTTGTACATTTCCAAAAGCTGCCCTGGACCTGCCCGTATGTTCGTACAACTGAACATGTACAAAAGTACATTTGTATGTATGTAAGGCTGCATCTGAATCTCTTGTGTAGAGCTAGGTCTTGGTCTTCACTCCATTGGAAATGCGTGGAGACGCGTAGACAATAGACCTAGCTACAGCTCTGGAATCCCGTTTCGGACACGGCCTCTATGTGCATACATGTACTGGTACTGTACTCTACCGGTACTGCAAGCATGTCATACATTGCACATATTGAACAAGTACTTGCATGGCACTTAACCCACATTTTCAGATAAATCTTTTATCATGTGTTTGCCACCGACAAAATGTCTACTTATCATGTCTACTTAAAATGAAATTCGAGGCAGGAATCACACCTGTGTTCCTGCTGCTCAACCTGACCTTCTTGACCCAGAATCGTTCGGGAGGAGTATATTTGTACTGGTAGTACCAAGAAATGCTCAAAACTGAGTGATCGGGGCACATTTACAAAAAAACACATGGTGTAAATTGGGGGACAAGATTTACAAGCCACTGCTGTGGTGGCATACATGTACCAAACCAGGGGGTGGTACATGTATGCGCCTGGTGCATGCCTAGGGTTCCTACAGAAATCTGTAAATCTAATCCCATGACTTTTCCCAGGACTCTTTGAGGACTGATGCATGACAATTTCCATGACATCTACAGCCACTTTGCAGAGAACAGTTGTTTGGTATTATGAATGGGAAGACAGCCATTGCCACTATTACAGACTGACGAGGATAGCCGGTGAATTGTATGGTATTTTATTCTCACATCAAGAGTGACCCATTAGATACGACTACGACCCCTGCACGATCTCAATTTTTCCGACTTTATTCCTCCAAAAACAGATTTCCAGGACACCCTAATTTTTCCCCCATTTTCCACAACTTTTCAGGGCAACTTCTTTTCAGGATTTTCCATGACCCCGGGTACCCAGACGCTTCTTCAACCAACTGGTTCATGGGTGTCAAGCTCAAAAACAGGAGTGTGCCCGAGTATGGCACTGTGGTTATGGCACTTTGCGGATAAGTTTCCTGAACCAGTACATGTACATGTACCATAATGTACCGGTAATGTACATTGTACGTGTATGTACCGGTTCATGCAAATGCCAAAACACATGAATGTTTTGAAACCAGTCAGATCCGGACCATCTGAAATGGTTTTCTCACTCTATAATTAGTTCAACAATCCATCAACATAATCAACACTGACTCAGACTACAAGTAAGACCCACACTACAATTAAACCATTGTTAAACCCATACCGATATGGACTGGTACCAACTTGGGCCTGCACAAATTTGGGCTGGTTGATAAAGCTCATTATCAGACTCAAACTCTGACCAACTCAAGTGGGTACTGCTACCGGTACCTGTACCGTACTGACAATCTGAGATCCAATTTGTTTCCTGAATTGACCTCTTTTCCACCTGTTCTTTAGTGAAGCTGCGATCCTGTGGCAGGTACTAGTACATGTACAATCTAGATTTGTCATTAATTGGATCTAAATACTGGCAACCGTGAATGATAAATGGAGGCTTTAAGCTCCTGCTGATAAAGCCAGTGTTTAAAATGCCACCCCCCTTCAATTTATTTATAGTTTCTTGGAAACATGCAAAAAATAAGTTTACATGTGGATGTAAAATCAATCTTTCCACTTATTAGTGTCACTTACGCTCCCCAAACTGTGTTTCTCGTTACATGTCATTTGAAACAGAGCACATGTACATGTAGGTTAAATTTTTTGCACTTTTTACATGTATTGCAGCTACATGACATGTACCAATGAGAGTTAAATGGTTAAAACAAGAACGCCGTGAGAGGTCAGGAGGCGCTTGGTTACACTGAACTGAATGACACTTTAAACAGGTTCAAGGGTACCGGTACCACACTGGCTATACATAACATGTTTATGTACATGTATGTACCTACAGTGTACATGTACATGTAAGTCTGTTAAACCTTTTTCACCACGCTAATACATTGTACAATAGACTTTTCTTCTTTACATGAATTTCCAAAATAACATTTTTATCATAATTTCCTTCTTCCAAAAAAAATAGGGTACACATAGGTAGGGAAACAGGAAGCATAAGCAATTTTTTGGGCCTTACACCTTTGTGCAGCAACAATTTGTTTCTCTGGCCTTTCGGTATGCCGTGAGTTCCATGTAAACGCAACGTTTTGCAAATGTCTGCCAGAGAAATTTACCTTCATGACCTCACCAAAGTGCCAGAATTTTTTCAATGACATTCGAGTTCCTATTATTGTCTATACACACTGATTTTCTTTTACATGAGTAAACATGGAAATTCTCTGATCAAGTCCCCAAGCTCTTTCAGGAAATTGCTGGGCAGAGTGATTGCCAAACTTAGTAAGTCACTGTTGGG